AAAGAAAGAAAGAAAGAAAGAAAGAAAGAAAGAAAGAAAGAAAGAAAGAAAGAAAGAAAGGAAGGAAGGAAGGAAGAAAGGAAGAAAGGAAGAAAGAAAAGAAAAAGTGTTTTCAGTATGTGGTTACTCTTTTCAATATTCAGTTTGGTCACTGCTGATAAATATTTATTTATCTCTTATTCAGAAACCAATTTCAGCCCCCATCCCCTGGCTAATTTTTCCCTAATTCTGAATTGATGATGCACCAAATCCTTTGGAACGGAGTGAGGTCCTCCCTCTAACACCGTGGTTCAAGGAGTTCCCATTCTTTAATGACCAGTTAGACTTACAGATATAGGACCAAAGTGAGACACAGGACAGCTGGTTTCAGAACACCTAACATGAAGGTAACAGCCTCCACCTGTCTGTCATCAGGCCACATGGTATGTATGTCAAAGGACTGACAGGCAGAGAATTGCAGACTGTCCCAGAACTTGAGCTCAGATCCATTCCCACTGTGGCATGGCCTACTGGAATTACCATCCACTAGTTCACTTACTTGGACCTGCCATTCACTGCTTGTCCATTGTCCATCTGGACCTAGTCTCCCCTTTCACTTCTACAGCATCCATGTTCTTATATTTTGCTCCAGAGTCTAGCTGGGACTAGACTCTGAGGTTTGCTCTGAGCCGTGAAGCTTGGTTCTGCAGTAGGCACCTCCAGCAGATCTCAACAGTTTTTAACCTTTAATCCCACAGAGACTCTTTTGCAACCTATGAGATTCCCTATCAGTTCCCCTAGCTCCTAGATAGATAGATGATAGATACATAGGTGATAAAAATAGCTATGATATATAGATAATAGATGGACAGACAGGACACAGATTCTTTTATTCCTTCCTTAATTACTAATATTAACTCTCAGATCATGCAATAGATATCTCTATATCTACCTGGTTATCAAGGGAATCAGAATTACTTGGCAAATTGCTGTCAACAAATCCACTATCCTTTGTTAACTTACTGTTATCAATAAAGCCTGACATTGTAGAAAGGCACAAGTGTGTTCTATGTTTCTGATATAGTGTGGCCATGACAAATATCCTTCCATGGACAAAACAGAAAGACAAAAATCAAGCTCCAGCTAGAACTTGGGAAGTTGCCAGGTGAAGATCAGTAGGTCTCGACCTTAACTTAACTGACCCTCATTTGCCTTAAGGCAGCAGCTCCCTGCTCTCTGGGGAGGGCCTGCTTGGGAAGGAAGATCTGAGGATGCAGCAGAGGAAGGGATTTTTCATGCCCCACTGTGCTTGGCCAGAGGGAGCTCATAAGTCATCCTTGGACTGTGGGGCAGTAGAGGCAGTGATTTCACTTTTCTTTTCCATTTTGTGTATTTTCATTTATGACAGCAGCTAGTGTTTGGTGTCTGTTGTGGAAACTCCCCCAGTCCAGAGGAGGGGGGGCATTTCCTCTGCTGCCCTGCCTCCCTTTAAAAAGGTCTGCCTGAGCTGCAGAGCATCCCTGCAGAGGATCCTGAGACAACGGATGCCGTCTCCTGCAGCCTCTGCCCCAGGTACCATGAAGACCTCTGCAGCTGCTCTCACGGTCATCCTCACTGCTGCCACCCTCTGCGGTCCTGCATCTGCCTCCCCATGTGAGTTCTGACCACCTTCACCCCCTGTCTGGATGCCCACCCCATCCTTCCCCTCTTTTTAGTCACAGTATATGTACTGCTTCAACCCCGTGCACATTCCTATATTTCATTGACACAGAGATCCTGCCATCCCTGCTAAATTGCTAAGCCACATTATGGCAGGACCCCCTGATGAACGTTTCTGTGTCTCCAAAGTCTACACTATGAACTCTGCAGGTACTCCTTAAGTGTGAACCGGTGCTGGGCATACTGTAAGGCAGGGTAGCTCAAGCTGACTTTGAAAAATGACTGACCCGTATCTGTCACCAGCATAGTTTCTAAGAAATGTCTAATACTTTTTAAAGTGCCTGAGGTGTGATGGTCTCTCTTTTTATAGATAGAAAAGAAACAGGGCTTGAAAAAAAACAAAAACAAAAACAAAAAATGAAAAAACAAAAAAACAGAAAGAAAGAACTCAGTGCCGGTATGGGCCGGGCATCACGCAGATTCCTTGACTTGTGTCATTCTATTTGACACAACTAGTCTTCCCGTGGCTGTTCTTGACTTATGGTGGGAAACAGAGGCCCAAGCAGACGGATTCTTGTCTAAGGCGCACACTGCTAGAGTGTGGAAACTGGTACTCCAACCAGTCTTATCCGGCTAGGAAGACAAGCATCACCACAGCTAGGCTGTGGGATGACAAGTGTGCCGCTTAGTGGCGTCTTGAATGAGGTGACCACCGAGAGCTTCTCTGTTCCGGGGACCTTCACTACAGCCCAGGCTGGCCCCAGGATGCTAGAGGCACTTTCAGTCCCTATTTAGAATGCCAAGTTATAAAATCTTGGCTTTGGGTGCTTCCCTAGATCTTATTTTACACATCAAAGAAACTAAGCTTTGACTCCGCTGGGGAGCAGAGAAGGATCCCAGCAGGGGTTGTGGCACAGAGGGTAAAGCACAAGCTCCACTCCAGGACCACGTGGGGTTTGGACAGGTTCCTTTCAAGCATCTGTTCAAATCTTCACTGCGGCCACGGTGTCCTCTGAGCCTCCATTTCTGCCAAGATGGATGACAACACACACTGCTTTGGAGATAAATCGTGTGAAGGGCCCAGTACAGTGCCCAGCGCAACTGGCAATTCATAAAAAGCTCTCCTTCTTCTCGTCTTTCTCCCAGATGGCTCAGACACCACTCCCTGCTGCTTTTCCTACCTCTCCCTTGCGCTGCCTCGTGCCCACGTCAAGGAGTATTTCTACACCAGCAGCAAGTGCTCCAACTCTGCGGTCGTGTGAGTCTTAGCCCCCATGGGTTTCTCTGGGGTACAGAAGCCACCACCGCACCCCACCCCCGCCATGCCCTGACTGTAGCCCTGCCATGATCTTTCTCGGAGAGTGTACCCTATCACCCCCCACTCACCCCCTAAGCTCCTCAAAGAGCCGTGGCTCCTCATCTCCAGCTCAGAGTCCCCAGCTGTGACGTAAAAAGAACTAGACACAGTATCCTTAGAGCAGAGGTTCTCAGTCTGTGGGCCATGACCCTTTGGCAAACCTCTGTCTCCAAAAATATTTACATTATGATTAATAACAGTAGTAAAATTACAGTCATGAAGTAGCAACAAAAATAATTTTATGGTTGGGGCGGGGGGACCACAACACAGGGAACTGTATTAAAGGGTCGCAGCATTAGGAAGGTTGAGAACCACTGCCTTAGAGGATCCTGCCTACCTACCCTGACAGACACAGTTCCCAGAACACCAACTTTTGCTGGCGCAGCTCTTATTTGAGCACAGGTTGAAACGTCTGGGAGAAGATCCACTCCAGCATTCCTTTCCAATTAAGAACCCAAAGTTTCTATATTTCACACCCGATCCAGCTCAGCTAATCCTCTGAAGAACTAGGCAGGGTCAAGGACAGGATGAGCAAAGATCAGGATGGGTCAAGGTCAGGGCCCTAATTTCAACAAGTAAATAAAATCTAAAATCCTATCCATTTAAGAAGTTATAATGAGATTCAGCTTTAAGTATGCATATGGACAGATTTGGGGAAATATAATAATCCCCACCACACAGGGAGTACTTACTGGGGTGTCATGTCTATGTGAGCTGTCTCTAAATCACGCATAGCCCTGACTGGTATGCACAAGTATCTCCATGTAATGTAATTCAATAAAATGAAACTGATTTTCAGAGGCATTTACTGACTTGCTCAATGCTGCACAGTAAGAGAGGGATGGAGTCTGTCTGTCTCTGGGGCTCCCTCTTCCTGCCGCAAAACAAAGTGATTAGTGACAGTAGCTTAAGAAATGTAAGATGCTAATGATTTACAGAACGAAAATGGAGGGCTATAGACACGCCTCAGCGGTTAAGAGCACTCGCTGCTCTTGCAGAGGATCCAGGTTCAATTCCCAGCACTCTCATGATGGCTCACAATTATCTGCAACTTCAGTTCAGGGGATCCAGTGCCCTCTCTTCTAATCTCCTCAGGCACCAGGCACACATATGGTGCACATACATATATGCAGATGAAATATACACATAAAATAAATCCAAAAGTAGAAGAAGAAAATGGGATAATAAAAGATTGAAGGGTGTTAATCAAAAAAAAAAAAAAAAAAAACAACCCACTTTTTTGGTTTGGTTTGGTTTGGTTTTTTCGAGACAGTGTTTCTCCATGTAGCTTTGGTACCTGTCCTGGATCTCCCTCTGTAGACCAGGCTGGTCTCAAACTCACAGAGATCAGCCTGGCTCTGCCTCCCAAGTGCTGGGATTAAAGGCGTGCACGCCACCGCCACCCAGCTCCAAAAAATTTTTTTTTAAGATTTATTTATTTATTATGTATACAGTGTTCTGCCTGCAGGCCAGAAAAGGGCACCAGATCTCATTATAGATGGTTGTGAACCACCATGTTTGTCCTGGGAATTGAACTCAGCACCTCTGGAAGAGCAGCCAGTCCTCTTAACTGCTGAGCTATCTCTCCAGCCCCAATCCAAAGATTTTTGTGACCCTGGCAAAGATGAACTTGGGTCCTGGTGAATTACTGAAAGCATAATACTAATACTTCATTACTAAATTTAGCATTACTAAATTTAGCTCTAAACATTAGTATTTTTTAAAAACCATTCCTTAAGCACCTATTATGAGCAGGCAGAGATGAATAAAATTGCCATCCTCGGCTATGGAGATTTTATTTAGTAAGGGTGATACGTGGGACAGAGAATAACGAAAGCACCCTATAAATCATTACTGGAAGGGAGGAGGGGGTGTGTCTTCAAGGGTGGGGGAGGCGATTCAGAGGTGATGACTGTAAAAGAGGAGAGATTAGGAGAAGTGTGGGGGGATGGGGTGTATCCCAGAACATGTTCACAGGCTTCTACTTTGGTTTGTATGGACATGGGCAGGAGAGCAAAGAGCACCTTGAGTCTCAGAAAACTGAAGAAAAACAGAGCTGGCAAGAGAAAAATGGCCTGGAACAGGGAAAGCCTAGGAAGAAGGGATCTAGATAAGAGGCTGTTGAAGTCACCCACACATGAGGTATTGTAGCTGAGTGGTACCCAGAGGCAAGAAGAAATAAGAGTTGGGAGCTTTGGAGGATGAATCAGCCAGGGTAAGAGATTTATGGTCAGGAGCAAGAGATAAGGACGATGCTGAGGTTTTGATGCACAGATGGAGAGGTGTACAGGTGTACAGGTCTGTTACAGGCTTTTTCTTTTGGGCCACCAACCAGCTCCCAAATCAAGACACAGAGACTTTTTATTAGTTATGACTGCTCAGCCTTATCTTATCTTGTCCCACTAGCTCTTATAACTTAACCTATTTTTCTTCATCTACATCTTGCCTCAGGCTTTTTAACCTTTCTTTCCTTCTGTATACACCTTACTTTCAATGCTTCTCCTGTCTGTCTGTCTGTCTGGCAGCTGCCTGGCTTCTGACCCTGGGTGTGTCCCTCTCTTTCTCCCTTGTTCTCATCTCCTCCTTCTTCTCCCTCAAGCCTAGATTTCTCCTCCTACTTATTCTCTCTGTCCGCTGGCCCCACCCATCCTTTCTCTGCCCAGCTATTGGCCATTCAGCTCTTTATGAGACCAATCAGGTGCCTTAGGCAGGCAAGGTGAAACAAATGCAGCGCATCTTTACATAATTAAACACATGCAGCATAAACAAATTCAGCGTATCTTCACATAGAGTAATATTCCACAGCATAAACAAATGTAACACATCTTTACCTAGTTAAAGTAACATTCCACAACACAGGTCTAGAGGGGAAACTGTAAAGAGGGAAGAACCAAGCAAAGTTCTAGGAGACAATCTGTGGAGATGCTGGGTGGAGTGCAAGCCAAGGGCTGAGGCGAGAGTTCAGGAACTGCCAATAAAAAGAGGCTAGGCCACCTTGTCTTGGCCACCCCTGGCTACAGAGCTGGTCTGTCATGTTAGAATCTTAGTTGTGGCATTTGGTCAACTGGGGCCCCTCAGCCTCTCTGAGGTAGTTTCAAAAAGGGTAATTATGGCACTTTTTTTCTCTAGGTCACAGAGAGAATAATAGTCCTTAGACCATTCCCTGGCACAAAATGGGTATAAAGAAGTATCAACCTGTTATTGTCATTATCTAAAGTGTGTGTGTGTGTGTGTGTGTGTGTGTGTGTGTGTGTGTGTGTGTGTGGTGTGGTGTGTTAGGAATGAATGCAATTCATCATACACTTATTCATCCAGTAAGTGTTCACCAAGCATCAACTATATGTCAGGTCTGGGGCCAGAGCTGGAAAGACAAGAAATTAAAAGGGGCAGTATCTTTGAGAACACCTGCTCTGAGGGACAGGTGGAAAGGGAAGTCAGCTGAGCAAAGGGCCCCGAAAATGGAGGAAGGAAGGGAGGGAAGACTGAGCCAAGATGACTTGTTCTTTGGTATCACACTATATAAAGGAGGAGGAAAGGGAAGCCCTATCAGTCCTGACTGCAGGGATTATTATACTGGTCTTTTGACCCTTAGATATAGGCTGGGAGTGCTGAGAAGAGCGACTAGCCAGTCTTTGGGTTCCCTCCTAATTTTCTCATCTCAGGTTCTGATTTAAATACAACCAATATGCAGCTGGAGAGTTTTCTTTCTGGGTCCCGCCAAGCCCCGGCAGTCTGACAACCCACTTATAAAATAAACACACAGACACTTATATTATTTAAACTGTTTGGCTTAATGGCTCAGGCTTCTTGTTAACTGTTCTTATACCTTAAATTAACCCATTTCTAACAGTCTATACTTCGCCATGTGGCTCATGGCTTACTGGTACCTTACATCTTTGTCATGGCAGCAGCTGGCAGTGTCTCTCTCACTCAGCCTTCCACTTCCCAGAATTCTTCTCCTCCTTGTCCTGCCTATACTTCCTTCTGCCTGGCTACTGGCCAATCAGTGTTTTATTTATTAACCAATCAGAGCAACACATTTGACATACAGAACATCCCACAGCACCAATACTCCACTTCTTTGAATTAAGCATTCAGCATAAGGCCTGGAGCAAGGGAAGGGGCCAATGAAAGGCCAGTGCTTGCCTTGCCCTGCTCAATGCTGAGTTCCAGATTTGTGAGTGTGTGTGTGTGTGTGTGTGTGTGTGTGTGTGTGTGTAGGGAATTAACATGAATGAAACTCTGCCTGTAACTTAGTGCCTTTAATTCCAACAGAAAAAGAAATGTCTTCTAAAAGGAAGAAAACAGTCCTGAGCTACGAAAAAAGCCCTCCCCAACTCCCATAACCATTTCCCTGTATGCTTTTCAGTTTCCCGACACCAAAAGCCACCCCACTGTCTACTTCTTTTTCTCTCCTACAGCTTTGTCACCCGAAGGAACCGTCAAGTGTGTGCCAACCCAAAGAAGAAGTGGGTTCAGGAATACATCAACTATTTGGAGATGAAGTAGAAGAGAGAGCGTCTTGCGCCTACTCCTGCATAACTTACCCGTCACTGCTCGCTCTAGTGCTAACCTGCTTGCCGCTGAGCAACCCCCTGCTCCCACTCATTCCTAGGGGTGCAGAGATGCTACCGTACCATAGAGATTCTAACTGCGTCCTCTCCTAGAGCCTGGGAGGTCTACTGAGGCCCCGCCCCATGACAACAGGAAGGCTCATGACTCTGAGCTTCAGGCTCCTCAGCTTGGTTTTTGGACCAGAAAAGAAGTCTGAGTATCTCTCAGAAAAAGAAGGAACATGGAAACCCCATATATAAATGCTCACATGCCAGGCCCTCACAGGCTCTGCACAGCAAACCCAAGAAATCAGCGTTTCATTAAAATTTCTGATGCAAGGACAAAGCTGGCTTCTGATTTGATTTTCTTCCTAAGGAACCCTCTTCCCTACAAGTATGAGGCATGCGGAGATCTAGGCACACACCTCATATCAACATCAAATTGAGGAGGTATGGCCTGTGCCGTTGGCAGGGTTGGGAGCAAACAGCCTCTGAAACTCGAGCATAGATAGGCAAAGCTGGTGAAGTAACCAGGGACTTAGCTACTAGGGCTGGAATCTGAGTATCATCATGTACAACCTATACGCCTCCAAGGGTTTATCTGGATCCCTGCCACAACACCTCCCTGCTTCCTCAGGCTTGACTGACTAGCCCTTCTACCTTGGCCTGACCCATACCTTATCTCCAGTGGGTTCCTCTAACACTATTATTGTCCCTAGAATAGGACTTAAGGACAATTTCAGAGGCCTGCGTTATTTTAGATAAGGTTTTTGATAACTCTACCAACTGTACCAGCATCTTTCCCATCCATGTGTCGCTTCAGGTGAACACACAGAGGTAGCAGATGTAGTCATGGTTGCAGATAACATCAGCTGAGCACTGTGTGCCAAGCATTGGCTCAGCCCATCATGGTCATCACCCTCTTTCACTTTATAACCTTAGGGTGGGCACTAATATAGATCTGTTTATAGTACAAAACTGTTGTCATTTTTAAATTATGTGTGTGAGACAGACAGACAGATACACAGACACATCACACACACACACACACACACACACACACACACACACACACACACAGGACTCGGGGAACAGACATATGTGCCCTGGTGTACATGTGAGTGGCTTCTATCATCTTTTTTCATCTTCTTGTGGGGCCCAGGGGTAACCAGGTAACCAGGCTTGTGCAGCAAACAACTTTACTCACTGAGCCATCTCACAAGCTCAAAATTCAGTAAAACTCATCGTAAGATGGAATTTGCCCAAAGCACCATAAGCAAAAGGCAAACAAGTTTTAAAAGTTTCTAAACCCACTAGATCTAATACAAATGCGTATATATTTTCCCCATACTCAATTTACCAATTTTTTAAACACAAAAATTTATAAACCAATTTTTAAAATTCTCCCCTTTCCTCTGGTATATACTTTTTTTTTTCTGAGCCATTCGAAGCTGTATATACGATACCACTATACCTCTGAGGGTTTCAGTATTATCTACTAATAACAAGAACATTTTAGATAACCACAAAGTGCAAAACACAGGAAACTTAATGACACTATTATTTTCTAAAACACAACCATCAAATATAAATGATCACATCCTCCCACCGTCTCAATAATGCCCTCTACAGCTTTTTTTTTTTTAATTAAGAATCTAATTCAGGCCAGGCAGTGGTGACACACATTTTTAATCCCAGTACTAGGGAGGCAGAGGCAGGCAGATCTCTGAGTTTGAGGACAGCCTGGTCTACAGATGGAGTTCTGAGACAGCCAGGGCTACACAGAGAAACCCTGTGTGTGTAGGGTTGGGGTGGGGGGATCTAATTCAGTACATGCACTGTATTTAGTGGAATAACCTTTTAGTATTATTTAAAAAACAAACAAACAAACAAACAAAAAACCCCAAGATCTCACTGTGTAGCCCTTACTGCCTGGAACTGGTATGTAAATCAGGGTGGCCTGAACCACCTGCCTCTGCCTTTTGAGTGCTGGGATTAAAGGCATGCAGTACAATGCCTGGCCTTTTTAGTGTTCTTTAATACACTTTTTTGGCTTTTGTGGGGCGGGGGTGGGGGGAGAGGAAGGGAAGGTTTGCTATGTAGCCCTAAATTGCCTGGAACTCCCTATGTAGACTAGGGTGGCCTGGGATTTATGATAATCCCCTCCATCTCCAATGCTGTGCTTACACAGTTGACCTATCATGCTCAACCATATGTTTACTGAGTCCGGATCTCAGTACATAGCCCAGACTGGCCTTGAACTTTCAGGTTGGGATTACAAGTGTGTGCTATATCACCTGACCGAACAACTTTTTTTTTTTTTTTTTTTTGGCTCTGAAATTGTTTAGATGTTTAGATTATATTTTTGTATTTTGTCATTTAAATTTGCTTATTTCCTTATAATTAGACTTAGATGAAGTAATTTTGGTAGGAATTCCATTTGAGTAATGTTATCTTCATCTGTGTAGCACATAAAAGCATATCATGTCAGTTTACTTACATTAAGTCTGATGACTCATTGATCCATATTTTTAATTTTTTAGATGTGTTTATTCCATTTTATGTGTATGAATGTTTTGCAAGCATGCATGTGTGTTCACCACATGTGTGCCTGCTGGATCCCTTGTAACTGGGGGAATAGATGGTTGTCAGCCACCATGAGTGTGCTGGGAATTGATCTTCAGGTCTTCTGCAAGAGCATCAAGTGCTAACCACTTAATCTTGGTCGTCAAGACTGAATGAGTCTGACCTGGTGGTAGTGCTGCATGCCTTTAATCCCAACACTTTGGAGGCAGAGGAAGAAATATCTCTGTGAGTTTGAGGCCAGCCTGGTCTACAAAGTGAGTTCCAGGAAAGCCAGAGCTGTTACACAGAGAAACCCTGAATGAGTCTGGAATCTACTAAGCCACTGGCCATACCTGGAAGGGATTTCCCTTTTTCTTTTTTTAAACATAAATTTAAAAGTTATATTTATTGTGTGTGTGAGAGTGTTTACCTGCATGCCTGTGCATCATGTGTGTTCTTACAGACAGTTGTGAGTTGCCATGTAGGTGCTGGGAACCAAACCCAGGTCATCACTAACGATCTTAACTGATGAGCTACCTCTCCAGCCCCCTGATCAGTTTATAAGTAGTAGGAAGATCTACCTTTAATGTGGCAGCAGCACCTTCACATGGGTCAGGCCCTGGACTGAATGAAGAGAGTGTGGTGAGCACAGTGTTCTCACTGTGACTGACAGGCTGCTGTGACTTCCCTGCCATAATGGATTGTAACCTGAACTATGAAATACAATAAACCCTTCATCTTTGTTATCTTTGTCAGAACATTTCAATCACAGCAACAGAAAAGAAAATAAGACACACAGTAGGCTTCCTGTTGCATATTGACCTACTACAGGCCAGTACTGTTAGACACTGGGGTGGAATAAGAAAGGGATTACAACTTGTACAACCACTGTGGAAATCAGTATGGCAGTTTCTCAGAAAATTAGGAATCGAACTACCTCAAGACCCAGCCATCCCACTCTTGGGCATATACCCAAGGAATGCTGATTCATACCACAAAGATGCATGCTCAACTATGTTCATAGCAGCACTATTTGTAATAGCCAGAACCTGGAAACAACCTAGATGCCCGTCAACAGAAGAATGGATGAAAAAATGTGGTACATATACACAATGGAGTACTACTCAGCAGAGAAAAACAATGAAAGGATGAAATTTGCAGGCAAATGGATGGAACTAGAAAAAATCATCCTGAGTGAGGTAACCCAAACCCAGAAATACAGTTATGGTATGTACTCACTCATAAGTGGATTCTAGATATAAAATAAAGAACAATCAGACCACAACCCATAGAACCATGGAGGCTATATATATAGCATGGAGGTCCCTATGACAACTGTGGCTTATAATAAATTTTGGATTTATTCAATTATTGAAAAAAAATAGTCAAACGAATGGAAACACATGAACTATGAACCAAAGGCTGAGGGGCCCCCAGCTGGATCAGGCCCTCTGAATAGGTGAGACAGTTGATTGGCTTGATCTGTTTGGGAGGCATCTAGGCAGTGTGACCAAGTCCTGTGCTCATTGCATGAGTTGGCTGTTTGAAACCTGGGACTTATGCAGGGACACTTGGCTCAATCTGGGAGGAAGGGACTGGACCTGCCTGGACTAAGTCTACCAGGTTGATTGCAGTCCTGGGGGTGGGTGGCGGGGGAGGCTTTGCCCTGGAGGAGGTGGGAATGGGGGGTGCGCGGGAGTAAGGAGAGGGGGTGGGAGGGGGGAGAACAGGGGAACCCGTGGCTGATATGTAGAACTGAATGGTATTGTAAAATAAAATAAAAGGGGGAAAAAAAAAGAAAAAAAAGAAAGGGATTACATCAGAGTCAGGTAGGGAAGGGAGCTTGGGGAGGAAAGCCTTCAGAAATGAGGTAGCATTGCTATGGATTTGAAAGGTCTGAGTCAGGTAGGAAGGAGGGGAAAAGGTTACAAGGTAGATGGAACTACACAAACAATCAGAAGAGATCTGAACAGCGGCTCCTTACTGTCAATGTTGCAGCTTGGATGGGAGCCAAGGAATACCACAAAGTCACTGTAAGCATAGCAGCTTACAGTTCTGCTCCAGGGAAAGGTTTCTCCAATGTCACGACTCTGTCTGTGCAGGAGAGGGTTGGCCCAGCAGAACTGTTACAGCTCTGCTCAGACCCCCTGGAGTGTAACAACTCTGCTCTGCTAGGAGAACATTTCCCTAGCAAATGTCACAGTTCTGTTCCGCTCTGCTCTACTCTGCTCTGGCTCCAGCGGACATTGTTACTTGTCATCTGTGGGATTTACTGGGAGTGGGGAAGCCAGGAGAGTGGCTGCCTCTGCCCGGGGTGGGAAAAGGCAGCAGCAGCCAAGTGAACAGGCACAGAGCTTATATAGAGGCTTCTTAGAGGTGGAGTTTTTCCAGGGTGGAAATTTTCAGGGTGAGAACTGGTCAGATTTCAATCCCTGAGTTTGGACAAGCTCAGGGATTGGCTGGATTTCGTGCTTTGGGGTTGGTCGGTTTTTGTACTCAGGGATGGATGGGTTGGTTTTTGTGCAAAGTTGGTCAGGAGCAGAGTGTGTTTCTTTGGCTCTGGTTTCAGGGCCAAAGTGTTTCTTTGGCTCTGGTCAGGGTGTGTTTCTTTGGCTGGCCCTTTTACCGTACAGTAACACACAACCTCCTACCAGCAGTGGGGTAGGATGTGCGTTTTAAAGAGCTTTCTCTATCCCTATCATTTTCCTGATGACCCATCCTGTGAACAACTCCTGCCCCTAACATGGGCTGACTTGAGCTTGGTGGTTCACAGACACTTTG